GGTTGTGTGATATAATTCATAATTATTCATTCATAATAATGTCGTGTATTCCGTCTTGTCAAATGGATAATAATGGACATTATTAAATCATAATAATTCATTGTTATTTTGCTTCTATTTAGTTTATTTTTTGTATATAGTGTGAATGTTACCCGACCTCACTATAACTAATGTTCAAGTAACAGATTATTGTAATAATCAATAAATTAAAAAAAAAAGGAATTTCAGTAAGATTCATTAAATTTGTCACTGATAAATACTTTTCAATTTTTATGACGGAGATCTGGGAGGAAATCACAATTCCATAACCATCTTACATGAAAAATCATTAATTATAATTTTTTTATTTTTCTAAATAAAGTGTGTTTTTAGACAATTATACTTATTATAATATGTATCCTCCCTCTCCTCCAAAAGTTATGCCTATATATATATTTGTATTTCCTTTCTTTTTTTCTCTGTAACGTTTCTGGCATAGCTTTTTCTCTGATGTGATACATTTTTCTGTTCTCTGATTTGTAATATTCCACCGTCCCTGGTAACGTTTTTTCATTTCTTTTTTGTCCTGATGAAATAGTTCCCTGCTATTTATTCATATCACCAAAGTTTTTGGGGAATTAAGTCAAGATGGTGGTGCAAGAAGTGGACTTATAGGCTCATCAACCTCTGTGAAGTTGGCCCCCCATACTCAACTTTTTTAAAAATTTTTGAGAGTTCTTATAGCCCCCCAAGAGTTCTAGAGTTCCCTATAATTTTTAGAAATAGTTCTATTGTTTAGACCACCGAAAATACCATCCAAAGTTGTGAAAAACGGAAATCCCGTTATGTGCAACTTACGAATCTTATAACACTTTTAATATTAATTTTAGAGCTAAACTTCAAAGGGATAATTATAACAATTCCTTGGGGGGCTATCAAAACTCTAAAAAAAAATTTAAATATAGGCCCCCTAAAAAGCGGCCCCAACAAAATGAAAATTTCTAAATTATGTTTTGGGTTTTAATAGCCCCCCAAATAGTTACAGAGTTCTCTGGTATTTAAAAAAAAATTTATATTGTTAAAACAACCGAAAATACCACGCAAAGTTACGAAAAAATGAAATCCCGTTTTGTGCAATTTACGAGTCTTATAACTCCTTTCATATTAATTTTAGTGCAGAACATCATGAGGATAATTGTGAAAACTCATTGGGAGATATTAAAAATCTAAAAAAAAAATTTAAAAAGGTCCCCCAAAAAAGCGCCCCTTCCAAATTGAAAATTTTAAAATTATTTTTGGAGTTCTAATAGCCCCCCAAATAGTTCCAGAGTTCTCTGGTATTTAAAAAAAAAAATCTATTGTTTAAACTACCAAAAATACCATACAAAGTAACGAAAAACTGAAATCCCGTCTTGTGGAACTTACGAGACTTTTTTTTTTTTTTTTGTTCTTCCCTACCTCGCCTTTTATTTTAGGCTATACGGAATTTTCCCGGGCCGGGGGGTGAGGGCGGGGAAATTTAAAATCCCCTCCGGCACTGGGACGCGAACTCGTACTTTTTTATATCTTCTCAAATCTCTGTTATCCGGTTGCCAGGCAACTAGCGGTGCTGTTACACACGCTTTAGCCTATTCGGTCACCCCGCCCCCAAAACTTACGAGACTTATAACTCTTTAATTATTAATTTTAGAACTAAAGTTCATTGAGATTTTTTGGATTTCAGGAGTTCTGGTGTGTTTTCCTATAGCCCCCCAAGGAATTGTTATAATTATCCATTTGAAGTTTAGCTCTAAAATTAATTTTAAAAGTGTTATAAGACTCGTAAGTTGCACAAAACGGGATTTCCGTTTTTCATAACTTTGGATGGTATTTTCGATAGTTTAAACAATAGAACTATTTCTAAAAAGTATAGGGAACTCTAGACCTCTTGGGGGGCTATAAGAGCTCTCAAAATTTTTTTTAAAAGTTGAGGATGGGGGGCCAACTTCACAGAGGTGGCTCATCAAATAGCAGAGTTCTCAACTTACCTATCATATTAGCTACGGTGAGTTCATGGTTAGGAGTTTCACATTGCCCAAAACTTAGTTATAACTTCTTTAAATGACACCTAAGCCTCCTTTTCCTGTATACTCAACGTGGCTTCGAAGCTGAGATCGAAAATCATTTTAGAAATATCAGGTCCAACGAAAACCTCTTCTATCAGTTTTACACAATGGACTTAATCCATAAAAAATAATAATAATAATTTATAAATAATCCTTATTTAAATATTTGAGTTTATTGACTGTGCCAATTGGTGAATCATGAATTTACAATTTCCATAACTCAAAGAACAAAGCTATCTAGGGTTCCTAAGACAAGCTATCTCTGATAGCTTAAAAATAGTTATCTAAAAGGCACCAACTGGACACAACACGACCCATTATCAAGACTTAGGGAACAATAACAGATTTCAGAAAAAGGTTTCTTTATCACGGACCTCATGTCCCCATACTAAATGATAAGAATATTAATTGTTAGTAACTTCTCAAAGTTGTAGCCTCTTCTCAGGCTTCCTAGAATTCCCAGAATTCCCCACCCCTTCCTCCCTATTATTGCAGGCTATATTTTATCCCTTTGGTCCTCAGGACAAATCGCTCATGCAATAACATTCTTGAACTCACACTCTTACCAGGAGATTAAGATCCATGATCAAGTTGTACTCTTGTAGGAAACTTGGAATCACAGGCGGATCTACGGGAGGGAGGGGGCTTTCGGGCTGAAACCCCTCCCCCAAAATGGTAAAATATAACCATGTTTTATCGAAAAAATCTTTAAAAAATAATCTCTTAAAGTATTATTGTGTAATTACATTTAAAAGGGCTTTAGGAATCACTTAAACAGCATTTCATACAGGTAGTTAGTTTCTTTCTTTTTTTCCAAAGTAATCATCGTTATTTTTATGAAAAAAACTACTTTCGGCCTGAAGCCCCCCCAAAATTAAATCCTGGATCCGCTAGTGCTTGGAATCAACTTTTGTACTCAATCCATAGTAATAGAATAATTCAGTATATGAGATGTCATTTGTATTAGGCATTATAAATAAAAGTACTACTTCTAAAGTACTCACTGCGATTCGTTCACTGTAGAATGTTTTTATTTTATCTGTCAAATACGATCAAACTCGTTGTATTTTCCATGTTTTTTTATGGTGTTTGTAATGCACATGTTAATGATAATTCGATTTAATAGCAACTATCTTATATTTGTTCATTTCTAGCTCCTTAAAGATATAGTAATATTCTATGTTTATTTAAAGGAGATTTGAAACTAGTGTTGCCGAAATGCGAGACCGCGACGAGTCTTAGCAGTTAGTTGCCTATTAGCCTATTGCTATTTATTAAATATGTTACTTTAGATCTTAGAAAAACGTTACAGAATAGGTACATTTATATGTTTTATTGACATAAACATAATAAAGTCCAACCAAGTTAATAAAACTAACTTGACAATACATTAAAGGCATTGTCAAGAAAGATAGTAATAGTCGCCTTGGAATGGAAGAGTTGTAGAGTAAAGACTATATATAAAATGTCAGCAATTATTTACAAAATCTGGTCTCTCCAATAACACGACTTTCCCACCGATTTTAAAACTTTTCTTTCCGATTTTAAAATAACACAACTGAATTGGACTAATTTTCCTGATAACCTAAATCATTAGAGTATGATCTATTTGATGAACTAAAGCAATGTAAATGGGCAAATGAGTCGGAAATTTAGTAACCTTTTAAAAACTGTAACCACTACATCTTATAGAGATATTAGTAATTTTTCAGAACGGGGAAACCTAACTACACCCCAAATTAAAAATTGGAAGAGTTAAATGCAAAAGTATATTACTTCCACCAAAATACAAAAAATGTCTAGTATTGGTAAATATTTAGCCTTAAATTTTATTCACATGAACGATTTTTTTTGTTTTATTATTTTCAATAATCAACCATTGTGATCGACCAAAAAATTCAAAAACTTAATCCCCTCTCAAAATTTGAGGTTTCACGTTTCAGGATGCGTAGAATTCGAAAAACGAATAAAAATTTTTTTGTCCGCCGTATTTTCTCCGAAACTACTAGACCGATTTTTTTCATATTTGGATATAAAATCAGAGGTCACCCGAGGATGATCATCCTTCATCGACATTATTATCCACCTTTTACTTTCAAAATGGCGGCTGAAAAACCTGCGTTGCTATAGACTGTAGCGCCTAAACGGATGTAATGATTTCAATGAAACTTCGCCAAAGTCATTTTCTCTACGCCCTTTAAATTTATATATATAACATACTTCAACGAAAAAAACTGGAAAAAAATTACGAGGGATGGTAAAATTTAATTCCGAATAACTCAAAAAGTATACTCTTTTTTGGGGATGTTGTTTATGGTTTTTTAAAAGTTTACGAAATTTCCTAAAAACCAAAAAAAAAATTAGGAGTAAAGATATGGTCTCTGGTTTTTTTTTTTTATATGTTCTACTCCAAATGTTATATCCTTTGTTTGGTTTTTAAATTTTGAATGTGTTATTGAACTAATGCTATTTTTTTTTTAGTATATTACTAATGATTAAGAAAAAAAAAGTTTAGTCCAATAATTTGAATCACCTTTTATTTATTTTTCTTTGTAACTAGATGTTAATGTTAGTTACTGTTACTTTAGATGTATAATTGTTTGGAAATAATAAACCATTGTGGAATAATTCGCAGCTTTTTTTCTTTGTCTTGTTTTGCAACAATTAGGCTGTCTTTGGTCTTAGTCTTGCAAAGTGCAATACCGATTTAGGGCAACACTATTAACCGAACATTGACAGAAATACACAAAGTTTAATTACTTAATCATTGCGTTTGCTGGAATACCGTTCAAAATACTATGAAAGCTGTGAAAATAATTATATAAAATTAATTAATCGTTTATATAGAGAACATCATCATTTTCTTCTCATGATTAGACCTTTTAAGACCATTCTTAAGCAGTATATAAGGTAAGCAGCTTATAAAAAAATAAACAAAATTTTTTAAATGATATAAATAATATTTATATCAATAAAAAGTATAAATATAAAATTTGTATATAACATTAACAAAATATAAAGTAGAAAATTTTCCAAAAATACATATCTTCGCCTTAACACAATTAGATAAATTTACAATTATTGCTTGATTTATCATAAAAAAAAGTTATCAGTCAATTTCTCCCTGCTTCCTTCTTCTTTAACAGCTTTCCAACATGACCGCTATTCCTTGACCGCCACCAATGCAGGCGGAACCAATACCATACTTGGCCTTCCTTCTCCTGTGATCAGATATTTAACGTTAAAATGAGTAAATAAATCAATAGTATACAAAAAACATCAACAATTATTTAAAAAATGTTTGATACTTTAATTTAATAACAATTTGTGAGGGTTCAAAATAAAATAAAATACGTTGAACAAGATAAATTAGAAATAATTGTGTAGTTTGAAAACAGCTGTTTTGTTTTATTATTTAGTTTATGTTATTAGCTGTTTAGGGCACTTTTAATTCAGAAAATTTATATGTGCCGAAAAAATAAGAAAATAAAAATTAATTTCAGTTCTAAATAAGGGTTTAAATCTAGAAAATTTAAGACAAAAAAATAAAATTAATATAGCCATGAAACCTAAACACTCGAATAACTAAAAAATTACACGCTTTTCCCTTGGTTGTGTCCATGGTTATATAAAATATTAGTAAATTCCTCCAAAATTAAAAAAAATTATCGAAATCGCACAATTATTAGCAAAAATACAGCTTATTGAAATTTGTATACATTTTGGTTCTAAACATTAATTTTTTTTTTTTTTTCTTACCCTCCAAAATGTTTATTGAAACAATTTACATATATAGTATACAATAATACAATATATACATGTAATAAATTCATTCCACTGCCCGATGGCATAAAAACATTAATGAAGTTTTAAATTAATTTTTGTTTTCTTTGTCGATTATATTCAGCGAGAAAGTAACAATTGATTTCTCTATCTTATGATACGTTGCATTATTTTATTTTCTTATTAATTTGTCACTTGTTCATTGAACAATATACTGTGCGAATGTTTAGAATCGGCCAACTAATATAACATATATGAAATAAAATAAATATATTACTGAAAGATGTTTGAAAAAAATAATCATGACATGCTTTGTTACCTGAGTTCATGAACCAAATGGGCTGTGATTCTTGAACCTGATGCTCCAAGAGGATGTCCTAGTGCGATGGCACCTCCATCGGGGTTCAACTTGTTCAGGTCGAGCTTCAGCTCCTTTGCGCAGGACAATGTTTGAGCTCCAAAGGCCTCATTGATCTGGAAATTATAAAAATAATATTATATCAAAAAAGTATATTCTATGAGATTTTGTTTCGGCACTAATTTCTTGGTTACCAAGATCAACCAAAGCATGCTATTATCGTTTTCCCGAAGAAAGCCGAAAGTAGCCAAGTATTGACAATCTTGGGTCTGTTCCAACAAGCAGTTCTGGACTGTTATCGCATGCGCAGTATAGTTAGGCCACCAAATCTGTACTGCGCATGTCAAAACTTTTCAGGAATACTTGTTGGAACCCCTTGTTTACATCCAAGCAGCTTTATTTACACGTATTCTTTAGGTTGGATCAGGTTATATTCTCATTTTTCCAATACATACATTTTTAAAATAATAAAATACATAATTAGGAAAATATCTTCTGCTAAAAAATAAGTTTACATAGCTCGTTTACTTACAACACAAAATCCTGAAATATGTTAAAATTATAGATGGGAAGTTATTTGTGGATTGCAGTCATAGATGAAAACACATTATTTCATTTGAAAATTCAATAGAAATTCCCACCCTTACTGACAGATAAAAGAAAATAATTATAATAATAAAATAAAAAACATTCCTTTATTGACTGCTAAAATTAATTTTCTCCTTCCCTAATAGACGACTAGAAATACCAGTGAGTAAAAGAAACACCAGTTTGGACCAGATACTCTTAAAAAGATCAATTCTAGAAAAATCATGAAAATATGTCATCATAAGCTCTTTAATATGGCTTTGGAGAATGCAATAAGAAGACCAGGGATTCAGGTAGGCGGAACTATATTTTACCGGACAACACAGATTCTCAGGTTTGCTGATGATCAGGATGTTACGGAATTTATTTCTGCTATGAAAGAGGCGTTCATTGTCCTGAAAAATGTTGTAGAGAGGGTTGGGACTTGTAGAGAATGAGGAAAAATTGAATATATGAAAATAAACCTAATAAGGAGAGATCAACTGTGTCTCTAAAATAAAATTGAGGAATTCGCTTTTGAGAGAGTAACTGAATTTATAAACCTTACTTCTCTGAATAAGTCATTCAAGATCATTCAGCATGAAATTAATATAATGCTAATGGAAGCTAATAAATTTCATTTTTGTTTGCTGAATCACTTAAAGAGCAAAGCAATTGCGTTTATACAAAACCATCATCATAACGGTAGTAATATATGCGTCTGAATGCTGGACCCTCATATAAAGTCTAGAACAGATGCTTATGAGTTTCTAAAGACAAATTCTCAGAAGAATCTAGCAGCGAAGCAACAGTGGAATTATTCTTAATTATGTCGAAGGGGGCATAGTTAAATTTATAAAAGATGGTAAACTTCAATGGGCTGAACATGTTAACAGAATGAACCCAGAAGAGGTTCCTTGAAAATAGAAAAGTTCTACAGAATTAGAAGAACTGGAAGACCGAGATTTAGATTGATGTATTGTGTTAATGAAGACTCCAAAAACATCCTTGAACTTTAGATAGAGATGATTGGTGGTTTAATTCAAACAGCAGAAGACCCTGACTCAGGCTTAATTGTAACGCGGGTTAAGTAAGTTGTTCATAGTTCATAGTTATTGTAATTGAATAAAAATTTCCCTTTTGAAGTGGCCGGTAATTTACAATCAGCATTTGGGGATCAGTAGACTCCGTCCTCTTACGGACACACTAGGGTTTTTCAGAAATCTAGGAATAACGTGCTCAAAGTGATCTAGCATGAAAAGGTAACTAGTACCCTTTTATCCGAAACTTACCTCAACCATATCAATGTCGTTCAAGCTCTTGCCAGAAACTTTCAAGACGTTGGTTATAGCAGGAGCTGGGCCGATACCCATGATGCTGGGATCAACACCGACTACAGTGCATGCGACAATCCTGGCTAGAGGTGTCAAGTTATTTTCTTTAACTGCTTTCTCGCTGGCCAAAATAACTGCTCCAGCTCCGTCACAAATACCCTAAAATAAAATAAAATAAAAATCGATAGGTCATAAAAAATATCTTGTTAATTGAAAAGATACAAGAACTATCGTTGATACTAATCGATTTTACTTACAGATGATGTTCCAGCTGTGACAACACCGTCTTTTTTGAAGACAGTTGGCAGTTTTTGTAACCCTTCTATGGTAGTCTGTGGCCTGGGATGTTCGTCAAATTCCACCACAACTTGTTTTCTCTTGATGGTGACAGTTACAGGAGCGAGTTCTTCTTTAAACCTTCCTTCATCGTGAGCTAAGGACAAGAAAAAATTTACTGACATAGAACATAAGATCCACAACAAAACTAGGTTAGTGAATATGTGTGTCAAAGAAAATAAATAAACCAAAAAAAAAAAAAGATGATGGACTATTTTGTTTTATTTTTTAAAGAAAGAGGACAAGTTACCTTTCTTCCATAGTTGTTGTGAGCGAAGACCAAATGCATCAACTTCAGCTCTAGTGAGGTTGTACTTTTCAGCTAATTTTTCAGCGGTTTGACCCATAGCCAATTTGCAATATGTGTCAGTCAAACCTTCCCACAATGTGTCCTCGAAGTTTATCCTCGTACCCAATGGAGGAGCGCCAAACCGAACGTTACGAACTGCATAAGGAGCTTGGCTCATATTGTCCACTCCTCCAGTAAGGACGATTTCAGACTCCCCGACGAGTATACTCTAAACAGAAAGAAGAAAGTTTTTGATTCTCCACTAACATGTACAAAAGTGTTACTTAATAGTAACCATTTTTTATAAGTTCTGGGTCCAAGAGTATGAGGAAGAATGAAGGAGAAAGAGAGGAAACAATTTAAAAGAAAATAGTAAAGATGGAATCGTTACAATAGAAAGAATGATACTGAGAACAATATACGGTCTGAAAAGGGTGGATAAAGAATATCAATTAAAAAAAGAACAGTGAGCTTTATGAACATATTGAAAACTTAGAAACATTATTAAGGAAAAGAAGAATAAAATTCTTCGGACATATGAAGAGAATGGATTGGAATAGGTTGAACATTCGATAAAGTAATGGTACTTAAGGACATAAAAGGATATAAAACAAATAAAAGAAGAAGTAGAAAAAAGGTATATGAAAGAGGAAGACTACCAAGGTAAAGAAAAATTTGGGATAATAAAGAAAACGATTAATATTCTTGTAGTGAGAAGAAGAATCGTAAAGGTGAGAAATGAGCAGAAGTACGAAGAAAGGAGATGAAAGAAAAAATTTAGACAAAAAAGGTAAAGAAAAAACTAGAAATGGTAGATGGGTGGTCCTTAGGTGGTCTGTATCACGAAAATTAAATAAATATATTAATAAAATAATTAAAAATACTTCTCACTTGAACTCCATTCACAACAGACTGAAATCCAGAACCGCAAAGCCTGTTGACAGCATAAGCTGGCCTATCCTGAGGAATACCACTCCTCAAGAGGACATGCCTTGGTACGATGACTCCATCAGGTGATGTATTCTACAAAAGAGAAGGAAAAATTGGTAATAAGCATATTAACAATATAGGAACACTATTCAATCTAATATCCATTATCAAGGATGCCCATCTCCCCCAAGGTGGATAACGCATGACCCTGCCAAGATATTTTATTGCTTTCGGTTCTTAAAAAAAGTGCAAGCTAAAGTAGATTTTTAAAATCATAGGTCATGTACAATCACACCTTTCGTGGTCTGTTCTATGCTTTCATCTTGTCCCCTGGTTTTAAACTTTTCATTTCGAAAATTCATAAGCCCGTCGAAATGTGCCTCCTTCAAAAGTTTTTGTGGTGCAACCTCCGCCATGAAACTCCCTTCTGGCCACCTCTGTCTATTATTAAGCCTTTCAGGAAGTTTTAATTAAGAAAAAGAATAACTATATTTATCAATTTTATAATTAATTGTTTGATTATTTGTTACAATTTTTTATTCCATTGATCATCAGCAATATTGGTAAACAAGTAGGTGTCAAAATAAATACAGACAGACAAAATATTTGGCTAGCAGCAAAAACAGAGACGATTTCGGTGGTATAGAAATAGAAGGGAATACATTTGAAGGTAATGGGAAGTTTTGGTATTTAGAGTTGACTATAACTAGAAAAAAACTAAATTTGGAAAACAACTCAGTTCGCGTTGTCTGTCCCAAAACTTAGAAATTAGAATAAACGAAACTATTATACTATAATATTATATTAATTCTATTATTATATTATATTAATTCTATTATTCTATTATAATATTATATTAATTCTATTATTCTATTATAATATTATATTAATTCTATTATTATATCATAATATTATACAAAACTATTATAAACTATGAGGGAGTGGGGTAGCTCATTGGTTGGGAACTGAGCTTCCAATGCTAAAGGTCCCAGATTCGAATCCCGGCTCATGATAAAAAAATTAATTTATTCTGTTTCATTGGCTGTGGAACGACCCTGGGTAGATAGACCCTCCTGGGGCACACCCAGCCTCTATAAAGTGGATACCCACTCTTTGACACGCTCGCCACCACGTCCTCTTTAATTGCTAGAACAGTACTCAGTAAATATAATTGAGATAATTACATTCCGTTGAATAGGAGTTTAGGAAGATTTTAATAGTTTTGAGAAGTTTTCAGATCGAACCAGGCTATTGCTTCGAATCCCATTGGTCAAACGATTCTAGTTCTTTCGATTACAAAGCTGTTTATTTGCTTTAGAAGTTTAGAGAAAACTAAATTAAATTAGATGGTTATAATAATGAATAATTTAATAATAATTATAAGATTAATTAATGGGTAATAAAAGATAGGTACTCACTGCCATAACATGTCCAATGATAACTTGATCAATCTTCTCCGGAGCTACATTTCCGGCTGCTAATGCTGCTTTTGCGGCCACTTCCTGCAGTTCTAAGGCACTTGTCTTCACAAAGGCACCACCATACGTACCAAAGGGGGTACGTTTCGCTGCTACCACAAATACACCTGAAAAAAATAAATATAATGTCTGTAGAAAACAATATTAATCTTTACTAATACTTGGCTACCAATACGTTTTTTTATTTCATTTTTTTTTGTCAGATAACTCATCAGATGTGCCCAGAAGAGAGTAAAATCCCGCAAGTTACACCATAAAAATTTTTGAGGGGGACATATTTTGACCGGGTTTTTAATTGTTGAGGAAGATACATTTCAACGGGGAATATTTTTGGAATCAATATTTCAATATAAGGAAACGAGGAGAAAACATTGATCATGCCACAGGAAATGTAATTCGATATTATATTCTAGGATTTCTTAAATTCTTTTTTGGTTAGCACTGTTTTTAAGAAGATAAGAGTTGTAAAATTTCTTTGAAGGGGAGGGAGTTTTAGGCGCGATTGACCTTGGGGGTGATGGGCAACCCTGCATCTCATTTCATCTTCATAAATGATAATGACAAAGAAATGATTATTTCAGCTTTAATGGATGATGATAACCCTGTTATCATATATTTTGAAGAAACAATAAAAAAAAAATAATTATAAAACTTATATGACAAGTTTATATCTAATGATCCTTTGCTCATTTATTTATTTATTTTTTTAATTTTAAAAGTTCATTGATTTATTAATTTCAATTCATTTACTGATTTGTTTGTTTTTTTAGTTTATTTATCTTCTATTTATTCTATCTTATTATCTACAAGTGTCTATTTATATCATTATTTATTAATTTTATTCTAGTAATTATTTTATTTTTATCCTTTTTTTTATTTTTGTTTTTTGTCCCAACCACCTGAACAGTATAAAAATAGTGTTGTTTAGTTGATAGGGCGCTGATGACCTGGATGTTTTGCGCCTAGACATCGAAACAAACAAACAAGAAATAACTTTGTTTATAACAATACCATACATTGCTCAATCATTAAAAAAAGACATAATAATAACACATTTGACACATGCATTCAAGACAATATTGTTAAACGACAAAGAAACGAGGACAATGAAGTTATTTTCTTCAATAGGGATCTAAAATTACTGATTGTTTATTTAAACCAGAAAAATAGTATGAACACTTTAAGCAGGAACTGCCAATATTTCTAGAATAGGATAAATGATTAAAAGACTAGTGGTTTTTCTTCCTATTCCTTAAATAAGGCTTGAAAATTGGTAAAAATATTATCATGCAAAATCTCTTCTAAATGTGTCATAATAGAAACTGCTGAAAATAAATGCAAGATATTTGGGATATAAAGACTAACAAAATTAATAAAGTAATAATCTATGGCATATGTTCAATTATAAAAATTGGTCCGGCAAAAACATTTTGATATTAGCCACACCAGTGTGTCAGACACAAAGTTTCTAATTTTGGGATAATCCCCCAACTGTTACAGCAATATTTTTATTTTAAGGTTTAAAATCACTTGGTGGAGTGAGCCTGCAGATGTCTTTAAAACAAATACTACTACTAATTAAATTTACTAATTTTGTTTACTTCATCCATTTTCTTCGTGCACTTTAAATAAATATTTCCAATAACGTTAAACTTTCTAATTTTTATTTATATTTTCTCTATTGATAGTATTTTACTGCACTTTTGCGTTACATTCTTATTTCAGAGAGTTAATTTTGGGTAAGTGCATTTTCAGAAAAGTTAGTAATGGTATTCCAAACCATGAACTGGTAAGAGCAGCTCTTTACAAAGCATGAATGATGAGATTAAAAAAAAAAATGAAAACAAATTTTTAAACTTTAGTAATCTTTGAAGTGTTCCTACAATAAATTTATATTCACATATATACCCTTTAAAAATCTAATATTATTAAATCCTCATTTTATAAATTATAAAAGGGCGTATGCAGCTTTCATATTTGGGGAGGACCAGACAGAATAAAGGAAAATCTCAGGTAGATAAATAATTTCAAAACCTATAGTAATATATTAACATAGGTAGTTTATTGTAACTGTAATTTACGAGTTTAAATAATTTTATATGAAACACAATATATACACAAAACAATCATAATTGAAAAATATATTTTTAAGTTTTTTTTATTATTTTAATATTTTAAATTTTGTATTACTTTATTTAAAACTATAAAAGGGAGAAAAACACTACCTCGCCCCTGCTCCCTCTCTGCATATGCCCCTGATATTATATTTGTAACAGTAAACATTTTATGTTGACAAGGCTATGTAATAAAAAACAATCATTTTCACTTTCTCGCATGAATCAATTGTATTCTAATATAATCCTTAATGTAACTAAAGGAACAAAGGTAGAAATTTCAAAATTCTTAAGAAAAAAATAATATGATAAGAAAATACTTCAACAAAACCTTTGGTCAAAAGGAAACAGTTTTTATTCATTCTATTTTAAGAAATGTTTATCAGCTGTTAATAAAATCATGAGTAGTGTATTATCGGATGTTTTCGAGTGACAATTCATATTAATATTTTTTTCACTTACTGGTATTTTTTTATTTTATTTAGAAATAAATTAAATTATATAATGAACAATTTAAATTTTAAATATTAGCCTAATAAATTCAAATTGCAATATAAATAATGGTATTGTACAGCATGGCACTAATAAGTTTTTTAAATAATTAGTTTACAATATTTTGATATCTTACTAACTTGAACTTTCTCCTCAATTTAATTGGAATACAATTTAGATATTAAAAATGTATTATGATTTCTTTAAGTGTATTAAAATAATGGAGTTTTTAAAATTGAAATATATTAAACAATTGTAATTAATAATTTATAATACACCAGAAGATAAAATAACTAAATTAAAGTTAAAGAACAAATATCAGCAATATTTTTTAAAATTATTAATAGCATTTATAAAAGATTGTGAATATCATTCCTCTTCATCTTGTATGTTTTATATCAATCTCTCTCTCTCTCTCTCTCTCTCTCTATATATATATATATATATATATATATATATATATATATATATATATATATATATACTTAGTGACGTTCTGTACTTATATATACTTAGTGACGTTCTGTTATAAACTGATGATAATATACACTATATCTCTCTCTCTCTCTCTCTCTATATATATATATATATATATATATATATATATATAGAGAGAGAGAGAGAGAGAGAGAGATATAGTGTATATTATCAGTTTATAACAGAACGTCACTAAGTACATTTTTGATGAAGCTAAACTTTGTAGCACATTTTTATGAATTTCGACCATATTTATCAATAAAAAAACACGATAACTGCGTAAAAATAACATCAACCCATGTATATTTCAAAAATAATTTCATCAAGAACATAGACCAAAAATATCATGAAAGTACTTGAGGACTTAATTTCATCTAATGTTGCTTAATGACTTTTTCGAATAAACATACGATGAAATTGTAGATACAACCTAAAATATATAACAAGCCGTAAATTTTAAAATTAGCACTAGAAATTAACTTATTATTATGCTGATATAATTAAAAAACTGATAAAGCCATTCATTTCCATTTATAAAAATAGGAATATAAATACAAATGTCAAGAATGAATAATTGAAATAGTAAAATAACAACAGATTATAATACCAAAAAAAGATAGAAAACAAACGTAAGATCCAATGAATGTCAGTAAAACAATTAAATATCAAAATTGGACACAGGTACAAAAATTGGACAGTTTTATATCAGCATATAAAAAAAGGACAAAATAGAAATGTATGGATGTGATAAAGACGAGTTAGGAGCAGCTCAGATCAACTATAATTTATCATGAGATAAGAAAAATATATGATAATAAATAATTTTAAAATAATATTATTTAGAGAATTACAAAAAGCTGCATCAAAATTATATTATACTGAAATCGTGAAGATCTTGCAATATATTTATTTAAAAAAAAAAACACTAAGAGGAAAAATAACTTTCAAACTCTATGATATACATAAAATTATTTTTCTTAACTTTAAATGTATCACTCAAATTACTAAATAACAAATATACCTACATCAAGAATTTTTAAAACCATTAATTTGGCATGTTATACTTTAGGATTGGCATCATATTGTTGATGTATTAATATAATATCTTAGTATAAACATTTAATTTAATCTAATTAAAATTGAACCTTTAATTTGATTAATGTTTATCAATCATTCGTCCTGTGATCTAATAGCATAAAGATCTCAAACTTCTTGTTTTAAATTTTGTGTAGAAATGAAAATAGTTGTTCAATTTAAATGAATTTCATATTATGTTTCTATCAAATATATTTATTGAACAAACATGTTACTTGTTTGTGTTTACTTAAACTCAATAACAAAACTAAAGGGAATGTTTTTCAATTGAAATTTTGTTATGGTCAATTCCCGATTTTAGGTTGTTTTTTTTTTCTTGTTCAAGGTTACATTCCTTTTAATTAATAGGCTAAGAATTTTATTTTATCCAAGCACGATTTCTTAGAACATTACTAATTTTTACATAAATTAAAAATGTACTCATTAATGGGTTGTATTCGACAATAAAATTGAGTGACAATCATTTACTTAAGTCAAGATTAAATCAAGAAATTTTAAACCTGACGTCGTGCTAAGTAAAATTTATTCAAAGTAATAACAAACTTTATTTAAGAATAATCGAATTTCATATTTTAAAACCATAAATGGTCTATTCTATAATACTTTCTTAAATAACTAATAAAAAAAAATCAATTTTATAATATTTCCAGAAAACATAGCTGAATGGAACCTGTAGTACCTAAAGTGCTGAATCATTTAAATGTCTTTGTATTGAAAACATTTCATTCCTTTTAAATTTAAACTTCATAAAATATATATATAAAACAATTATGGAATCAAATAACTTTTAGAAGCAGTCGAAACGAAAATTTGGGAGATAATAAAGTCAGAAAAAAATGTTTTGAAGTAATATTAAATTAAATTAAATTTTGTTAGTGTCAGCGTTTTATTTATTAAATATTTCGAGCAATTATCAATATGAATTTATTGAGTATATAATTTGTAATCAAAAATAGTTTTTTTTTCTAATCAGAAAGTTTCAGGATTTGAAAACAAAGAAAAAAACACAATTTCTTTTATCTATATGACCAATAAATGTTCTCAAATGTATAGAATAGTTCTAATTTAAAAATGAAAATTGTGATCATGATTAATAAATGTTTAATTTTATTTTAATTATGAAATTTAAACAAATAGCAGTTTAATTATTTTTGTATTATTCAAGGGGTTTTACCTTAATTATACTAAAGTAACTTCATATATTAATTGTTTAGAACCATATACAATTTTACTAGCTACTCAAAATTCAAAAATATTACATATTGAACTATTAAAAAATATGAATTCTTTTAAAATATTTTAAATGAATATAATCAATTTGGTATAGATATTAAATTATTTAACTGATTAATGTTTTAATATATGTATATATTTCTTTGATATATGATAATATTCAACAATACCTTTAGCCAACGTTGCCATAGCGCCTGTTCACAAATTACTGAAAGAGGAATCCAAACTGACAATTATTAAGGGGCCAATGGTAGTCCTTGAGATCAGAACTGATAAGAGCTCTTCCATTAAGGAAGGATTATATAATAAAAAGAAGTTGATACAAGTAACTGATACAGTCAAAATGGACCTGTAACAGATACTCATATTGATACAAATTGTCGTATGGACTTGGTAAATAGCATATAAATGTTTTTGTTTTTTTAAATGATCAATTTCCCTTCGCCTACATCGGAATTATAATAATTTAAAGTTATAGAACAAAGTATATTAAAATATTTATTTAAGTAAATTGCTTCAGGAAAAAGTAAATCACTCATGGTGAATGAAGGATCAAAACAAATATCTCGATCTACTAAACAGTACAGTGGGGCCATAACGAATAGAAATAAGTTAATATCACTCGTTATTGCGGGATAGAATTAATACATGATGGATACATTAATACATTAATGTGATAGTTGGTGAACTTAAGTTTTCAAGGGTCACGAAAATGACGCCAAACTCGTACAATTTCAAGTTTTCCAACAACCACTAGCGGATACAGGATTTAATTTTTGGGTTGGAGGGCATCAGCCCGAAACCTTTTTTTTCATAAAAATAAAGATAATAACTTTGGATAAACAGAAAGAAACTAACTACCTATATGAAATGGTGTTTAAGTGATCCCTTTTTTTGGGGGGGGGGCTTCAGCCCGAAATCCGCTCCCCCCTCCCTCCGTAGATCCGCCCGTGTCAACAACTTACAAAAAACAAACCACCACTTTACAATGTTATAACTTAGCTATTAGGTAATAATTGCAGATGAGTATGAAAAAAAAAAAAACAGAATTAAAGTCAATGGAAACAAAATAGGTATAGATAATGAACGTGGAAGGCAATTTGATGGACTTCTGTTATCATCATTTTGTGATGTTTGTTCCGATATATGAAAAGAAATGTACGGTTAAGATATTTTTGTATATAACATGAGGTTGAATATCATGTATGGCCAGGCATGGATGAGTAGTTTCGATGAAAATCGAACATGAAGAGTCATAGATTGCGTTAATGTTACTTTTTGGAAATTCGTCCCTTTGTGGATGTCGAATGTAGCTAATTTTATTTACTTTAGTTTTGTAATGAATATTCTTTTCGAAAAACCAATAGCTTTCAAAATATAGGTACAACAAAAAAAAAAGGTAAAATTTGACATTTTTGTATATAAAGGTTCCGAGCAGAATTTCTTTCAGTATACCTAGGGTTTGTGTTTAACGTTAAAAATTTACTATTTAAACAAAATTTTCCCCAATTCGCTCTTCTCTGACCTAGTTTGATAGCACTATGTCGATAAGAATGTGCGCACTAGAGGATCCAGGAATTAATTTTGGGGAGAGCTTCAGCCCGAAAGCTTTTGTTTTTGTATATATAACAATAATTTATTTGAAAAAAAAAAGAAAGAAACTAACTACCTATATGACATGGTGTTTAAGTGATTCTTGAAGTCCTATTATATGACCTATCCTAAATGTAATTGCACGAACAATAATACTTTAAGAGATAGTTTTTAATATTGTTTTCTATAAAACATGGTTATATTTTACCATTTTTGGGGGGGGCTTCAGCCCGAAAGTCCCTCTCCCCCTTCCGTAGATCCGCCTGTGATGGTGTATGTATTTTAAGTTTTTTATTTATTTAATTCATTTTGATCATTGTATTTTAAATTAGGTTTCTATTTATCCTATATATTATTTCTAAAAGGTGTTTTTTTTTGTCGGTAAGCCATAACTTCGTCAATTCTTCATCAAATTCAATGGTTGACCACTCATTTTGAAGATATTCTCCTCCTTCACATGCGAAAAATAGTCCTATCCTCCTGAAATTTCTGGAAAAAAATTTATGGAGGAAAAGAAACTTTATTCGAGAATAACTCAAGAAGTATGTATTTTTTTTTATTGTACCCATTGTACCCATGATAATTAGAAATATTACTAAATTACCTACAAAACAAACAAAAAAATCGTAGAAATTATCAACAAAGATACAGTCCATTAGTTTTGGTATGATTAATAATGTCTTCCTGTTTAAAGATATTGCATTTAGGAGTAGAATAGTCTGCTACACTTTTTTCTCTGGCTGATACATTAATTTTATTATTTCTTAAAGACATTTGGTTGTTCTCACATTTTATTTTTTTTAATAATTTAGAAAATCCCTTGATCGGGGCATTATTTTGTCTTTATTACTTTTATTATCTTTCCAGCCAGCGTTTAAAAATAGGTGCTAGCAAAGCAATTTGTACAAATATTTTTGTCTATTATGTTTAATGGGATATTGTAATCGACTAAGGAAAAAATATTAATTCCTTCCTTACATAATACATATGAACTACTTATTTCCATAATGTTTTGCTATTTCTCCACCAAATAAAATTTTCAGCGAATTATTCCCACGGGCCAACTAGTTCTATATATTTTATTTTAGATCCTTTATTCTTTAGAAAAATACTTTAACGATAGGTCAACATTATACCTAAAGTAATTTTCCAAATATAAATGTCATTTTCCTTAACTCCAATAACCACTCTTCATATTAGCTGTAATTAAAAAAAAAAGTATTGACTAGTTTTTATAACTTTAAAGTTGTTAAAAATTCTTGCAAGAAATATTTTTCTCGTTTGTACTTTCATAACCAAGTTTTTGTCATATAAATGGAAGACTGAAAAGTTGTTTTTATTTTTACATACAAAAAAAAAATATTATTGCTGAATAACTGTTTATTATATTCCCCTCTCGTATTAATTTTTCGACGAACTTGACTTCTGTACTTTAAAAAATGAAGTGATGACTAGTGAACAAAATTCTGATCTTTTAATCGAAAACTGCTACATGATAAGTGATTTTGCAGATATTGATAAAACCGTTATTTAGATTAAATACTTGACCTTTCGTTATGTTCTATTTATCTTCCAACTTTGCCCATTGGCAGAATCTTTTAAAATAATTTAAACAATCAAGGCATAAAATTTTTAAACAATTATAAAACATAATAATGTTCAACTTTTTTTTATCAGAACGTTTCGAAGTTATATTTAACTTTTCAGAATTTAAAATGTTGTTGGTGTAGGGTAATAGGACATAGTATCCTCAAAACGTTGAAATAAAAAGACATAAAGAACTAATTTTTTTTTATTGTGACTTAAGAGTAACGTTGGAAGAAAACTACAATAAAAGCTTTATTAATGTTACAAAATAATTAATTACAAATGTTAATTATTTTGAGGATTCAGTCAGATGAAATTAAAATATAAAATGAAACAGAATGTATATGTTTCTTTTATTGTGATAAATAAAGTTTCTAGGGAGTAAGTGGCTGTTTAGGTTTTCTCAGATAGCAGAAGGGCGCCCTTTATTAACACCTAAAAACATCCAAAATTGGAAGAAAATATTTCCAAATTCCAGCGCGTAATTCAAAATACATTTACTTATTTATTTTTTATTTCTCGCTACTGAAACTGTGGAAAGTTAAAATAAAAATTACGCCCAGAACCGAAATTTTCTAGTCGCTTTTTACGTTTTGGACATCAAGGAACAACTTTGGTTCCCTTTCTGTCTGTCTCTAGACAAATCTATGCAACTTTGCCAACTATAAATAATATAACAACAGCCACACTACAAAACCCTGTAAGAATAAAACTGAAAATTTTCAGGAGAAGAAAAAACTGCTTAATTTTTGTTTCATGAGCATTTTATTTTCGGTTCATTTTTTTTTTTTTTTTTTTTTTTTCCGGGCCTTAGACAAAGATGTAATGCTGTTTTTGTGTAAGTACAAAGATGCAAGTGTTTTTATCGTCTTTTTATCAAATAATCTTCTAGAGCTATTATTTCTAACTTATAGCTTTTTAGTTACTTCGAAAAACAGGTATTAGGTAAAACCAATCAAATTTACTTTAGTAACACTCATAACTTTATTAATAATGATTAAATCATAACAGGGACAAAATCAGTTAACAAAATGTAGAGAAACGAAACTTTAAATGAGAATTTGTAAAACATTTTCCTGGAAATTAGTGTTGCCCAAATGCGAGACCGAGACGAGTCTTAGTCTTGTATACTCAGTCTTGGTCGTACGCAACAGTCTTGCAGTTAGTTATTAGCTTATTACTATAAAGAGATATTACTGTAATTTTTTAGATAGGAGAAAACTAGCTAAGCCAGAATGAAAAATTAGGGGAGTTAAATGCAAAAATATATTTGTTATACCAATTCTTTACAGACAGTAACTAAGATTTTGAAGTATTAGTAACTATTTTGAATTAACTTTTATCGATTTTCAAATGTCAATCAAAAAATCAACGGGTTATTCACTTTTTTTGTCTCCCACTGTAAGGGTGCCTCGAACAGAGAACATACGCCCCATTTTGGAGCAATATACGAATGTTTCGTTTTTAAAGTACTCAACTTCATATGGATACAGTTTGATTTACGAATGCATGGCAAGCTCTAGGTAACGATCTGATGTGTAGATCACTTCGTTTCTGAGCTTATTGCTATTTCAAAGATTCGTAGGTTTGAAAAGATGAAACTAGAGTTCTTTTTTCGACTCCTGTTCTGATGTGAGATTATATGTGAAGAAATGAAAACCATATTTTTTTTATTTAGAGCAGGTTTGATGGTATTTTTTTTTCCAAACCTAACGGAATGTGCTGGGCAGAATTAGGTACTTCTTGTGAATCCTAAGACAGCTGAAACATCGGTTTTTAAATATATGCATAGTTGTTACTTTTCAAGCAATCGGAAGCAATTTAGGTCCATTTCGCAAATCGTTCCGAAATCGCACGAAAAAAACAGATATACCCCATTGTTAAATAGATTCGAAAATCTAAAAACAGTTTTCAGACTTTGCCCCAACCTATCACCATGGAAGTTATTTAGGGTTTAACACGCGGGAGTTATTATCAAATACAGGTTTTGACTAAATAATATCTAATATACCATACTGACCAAATTATAAACATATAGCAAATTTAAAAAGAAAAGTTAAATATTTTTTAATATTATACACATATAATTTTATATATTTATATTTTATTATAATACGTCGTTATGAAATAGGTAATGGATTATACAATATCTAAACAATGTAATGTTTACAATACAAACAACAAGACTTGGATTTTAAACATTATATTGGTATCTAACGCGAAGATTTTTACAATATTTATTTTATGTGAAATATTTATTCTTCAAATACTTAAATTGCGTGAAATAATATTTTTTACACGAAAAAATTATTATTTAACATAAAATAATTAATATAAATAGCAATTGATAAGTTAGAGCAATAATGTTAAAAAATATTTTGTTTATAGAATATTTGAAGAGAAGAATAGTTTTGGTGATCAGTCAAATAAGAAGGCAAAAATAAATTATACTATTTATTATGACATTAGCCGACGTTTCGACCTGAAATTCAGGCCATCATCAGGGCTAAGAAAAGAACCAGATAACAAGGTATGAGAAACATAAGTAGTGTAGGTAAAAAAAATAGAATATTATAGAATATTTGATTTAAATTAACCAAACCATACTAGACTGAAACGACAAGAAAGCGCTCGACGATTCCGATTACTACAGCACTTACTAGACAAACGATCTAAACTTCCAATTAATTACAAAAGACTTATATACATGATTATAATAAGACCTATTTGGACTTACGGAGTTGAGCTATGGGGCTCCACGAAACCATCGAATTCCTCTCGTATCCAATCCTTACAATCCAAAATCCTTCGTAAAATCCTCAATGCTCCCTACTTTGTTACAAATAAAACCATCCATAATGACCTTAATGTACCTTATGTTTCAGATCTGGTCCAATCCAGATACCCATCCTTCCATAATAAACTTCAGAATCATCCCAACCCTCTCTAACTCTCTAACATTGCTTCCTCTTCAATTCCTGATAACCCTCCGAGGCGTCTGAAAAGAAGATGGCCCCGTGATCTCCTAATTTAGACATATCATTAGAGTGCTACCATTGGGTAGTTACCCAGCAAGTGTTTTCATGTCATTATATCCATATGTTCAAATTTACTAGATGTATTTATTTAATACAGTTGTTAATACCATTAAGAAATAATAAAAAATAAATAAATAAATAACCAAATAGGTTTTTCTCCCAATGTCTAATCATAGCGTTAGCTCGCCCCAGTGTGTGCCGGCTGGAAGAGGGCACAACTTATTAGAAATTTAGAAACATAATACAAAGCGTATGAGAAAAAATTATTTTAGTCTACAAATAAAGCTTATTGATACTGTAGTTTAAAAACGCTTTATACATTCTATATTTAAATCACGACCTTTCATTGAGCATTTTATTTCGTTTTTTCGATTACGACACAATTTCTGTAACTTTCACTGTAACTAACAGTTTTTAGGTCATATTTTGCTGATTTTTAAGTTACAGATTTCTACAAAAGGCCATAGAGAAGAAATGAAACACTGTAGATTTCATTTTGTGGGATCAGAATATCCGACAAGTCAAGATTGACTAGAAAAACTCAAAACCTCCTTTTCCAAAGAAATTGTCTTTACAGGTTATTGCAGTGTGGCTGTCGATATATTATACTAATTTTAAATGAAGGACACAACTATTTATACGCGTCAGCTGTTCTGACGTAAGAAAATGGTGGGTGTGTCAACCGACAGGCAACAACCTCGAATGTTGCTCCGTGATAAGAACTGATAACTTATCGGGAAAGGTCTGAGGCAACACGTTATATTATCAGTTTTACCTAGACCTAAAATATTGAATTTGTTAGTGGAATAGTTTTTACAAAATTTTCTGTAAGTTTCCTCTAAAGAATTATTATTAACGATGTTTTAATTTTCTTGTATTTTGGAAAAGGTTTCATAAAAAAAATGACAAACTTCTTTTAAATTCCATCTAACCATCAGGATTTGTTTTTTCACTTAGCGATTTGGA